GTGTGCGGTAGAATTACCTCCATGTAGTGCACCCTGGGCAACGTATACTCATTCGGCAGAAAAGTCTATTAACCGGCAGTTGACTTCTGACTTCAAACTACCATCACCCTACTGCATGTCATACTCCACCAATTTCACAGTACTCACTTTACCTTTTTCTCTACCTTTGTGTCTGTCTGTCTCTTATGCATCTGTGAATCGCTCTTCTGTTCCCCACCCCTCGACTTTCTGCTTCTTTAATGAACTTTGCCTAAATGATGGCAAATGATAGCTATCAAAACGCCTGCCATTTGAAATAAATAAATAAATGTTTCAGTTATCTTGAGCTCCATTAACTTACCCAATATATACTCTCTTCAAAATCATGGTGATTCCGTCCACAAATACTTATCCACTTTAATTATATAAAAATGAGGATGTGTAATCTGAAAGAACTAGATGTTGCTTGGGCCATTTGTTTCCTAAAATTCCCTCAACCTCATTTCAAGTAACTTACAAAGCAACTGAGGGAACAAAGAAAGTGTTTGCTTTATAGCTAATAGATTGGCAAGACCTCAGAAAGACCAAATGGAAATTGCCAAGTTTGAGATTAAAAACTGAGAAAAATCGATAAGATGCGTAAAATGAGTAAGTAACGTTTAAAAACTCATTCTCACTGGATTATTCCTGATTCAATGTACCGATTCTGAGTTTAATCTAAAAACCAACAAATCATAGCTCAAATTTCGTAAGCATGGAGGTGACTTCGCCACAAATTTGTTTGGGGCTATGACGTTGTGAGTGGGTATATTTCTTAAAAGGCCTCAAAATTACTTTGCAATTTTTTTATTTCACAACTTCCAGAGTACACATCTCACCTTTTCTCTACCTTTGTGTCCACCTGTCTGTCTGTCTGTCTCTTCTAAATCTGTGGATCACTCTTTTGTTCCCCCTTTCGATATGGCTAAATGGCTATTGATAACCATTCAAAACGTCTGGCATTTGATATAATTATAATAAAGCAAAAATATAAATTAGTTGAGCTAATACAAAGTTAGAGGGTTCATTTCTTTCCAGAAAAACAATTAGTTGCGTGAATTTGTCGAATGAGACAGTTCTAACTATGTTAGTCCAATAATAGTTGTAGTATTTACCGAAAGGTCTGTCGATATATTCGATTCAAATTAGTACGTGGATAAAACAATAATCTCTTGGGATAAACTCCTTTGATGAGCTCTACTTTTGAGAGTTGAATAGATGCGCAGAATGACGAGTGGACCTCGATCTTTTCTCTTTCCTCCATTAATAAAGCATTTTCTATCTTTGCCACATCTAATTTGTGTGAATATTTCATTAACAAAACACAGTCTTTAGATTTACGTTTAAGTTAAAGCTATACTACCATCGAATTCACTTTCTTAATATATAAGCATTGGATAGCATCAACGCACTTGTTTTTTTAATCAGAGGCAACTCAACTATTACGATCGGTACGACAACTCGTAAAAATTAAATTTAATCAATAAATGTTTACAAATATGCATGTTACTGACACAGAAATATCGGATATTCTAAGTGATTCTAAGGATAAAATTAAAGAAATACTATCATTTATTCGATCGTGAGGGCTATAACTCGCTCAAAGCCATATTAATAGTATCGATAGGTATAGAACATAATCTTAATGCGTGTTCAAATAGGGGGATTGAAACTTTGCCGATATGGCAGGCAAATAAAAAATAAATTAGGGTATTTATAAATGAACGAGAGTAATGGTGAGTTCTCAGATAAACGTAGAAAATCAGATAATCAGGTACTGACGTTGATTTTCATTGAATTTATTTTATTTAGTTATTTATATCGAATGACAGGCTTAATGATATTTATCATTAGCCCCTTTAGTTAACTTCTGTCTTCCCAGTACCACTGGATCTCTGCCGTTGTCTGTATCAGGTATCAGGTGGGTCTTCCCCATTTCCTTCTGTAGACCACATAGGGCCATGCTGATTTTTTTTAAATAGATGTAAGGAAAAAAGGTTACGGCACTACCATGAAGATTGATACCATAATGCAAGTGCCATATCGGAAATTAAGTAGAAAGATCAGTATTGTACATGATTTGGGCGGTTCACATTTTAGTAGAGTGATCATTTCAAATCATGTGGTTGGAGAGGACCAGTTTGATGCTCTTGCTTACTTAAAAAACTGCGTAAATGAATATTCATTTGATAAATGTGTAAAGACCAGTTTTCTTCCATCTATCTTTACCCTTTGCCATGAGACTCATTAGAAAATAGTCGAAGACAATCTCCAAGTCTGTCGCACAATTGAAATGATAAATAATAATGTAACTAACTTCAAAATTCTACGTTTGTATCTTCAAATTATTAATATAATAAATAGTATAATACTTATTTAATTAAAACAATTCTTAATATTTCACTGTGAGCAGTAATTCATATGATAGCAAAAGTGGAAATTAGATATATTTAGCAAGAAGGAAAAACTACCAGCTTTCATTCCCTTAAGAACATCACGCGCAAACTCAAGACCATCCTTACTAAAGCGAAGGGGAATTATCGGAATACCACCCCTTGCCACCTCCATCAACCAAGTCACTGTGGGAGGTGGACTGCCCTCGGCAACACATGATACCTGTAGTGGAGCCCCTTCAACGACTTTGAGTATCGGGGCTGGAGCTTTTGTTATCTTAGGCGGAACTAAAATTGAAAAAAGTTCATTTTTGCGTGTAAGTGAAACATTAATTTTCGGATAGATGTAAAAGGTATACTTTTAAGATGTACAATTAATTGTGCTCCGATTCCTTGAGCTTTGAACTTGCTAATAAATAATGGGAATTAAAAAAAGCCATCTTTGTTTGAAAAAGTTTTAAGTAAAATAGTACAGCCTATTTTAATTTTTACTATTGCTACATTCTTATAATCAAATATGTTGTTATTGCATTTATTGGTACAATCACCTAAATCGCCTGTCTGTAAAATATCGATTTATTCATTTTTCAACGCAAGGGCTTAGAAGCCTATTTCAACTAACTGTGACATGTAAATGCATAAGTGAATCAAATTACCTAGCCTAAATAGATTTCGTATCTTTAGATCATAACTTTTTGTCTTACCAAGGACATTTAGATGATAGGATTTTGAATGTGTCCCCTCTCCAATCATGATGGAACACCGATAAACGTCATTATCGGCTGGTGTTACGGGATGAATCAGAAGGTTAAAGCCACGCTTTTCCAGCAGACTCTACGTAAGACGAAAACAAAAGCCCGCGGTGAAGGAAGAAGTGAATGAAACGGAACTGAAATAGACACTGATATGCCAATGTCACAGGAAACGGCATAAACCATTTCGATGAACATGGCAGTAAATCCCAATAACATTTTACTATGGGTTTAACTATTTGTAAGACATCGTTCATTTTTGGAACATTTTATTCGCTGAAATCAAATCTAATTTTAAATCTGTCTTTTAAAATGCTAACTGTTTATATCTTCTAACTAACTTAACCCTATTTTAAGTGTGTTTTGAATAATGTTTTAAAAAGGGCATTGTTCATAGGCCTTCAACACGAAGATTTATTCTAAATTTTTAAGTGGGGCATCTGAATTTCTCAGTATATTTGATTATTATATTTTGAATTTTGTCCTTTTATGTGACTACTGAGTTAAAGTAGTATGTTGAGCTAATTAAATTAGATTTTAGAAAGTATTAAAAGAGTGACCATGAAACACTCCAATGAAAAGCACTTAAATCAAACCCTTAGGATTGAAATCTTAAGTTGATGGAGCATTTATTATTGTTTTAGTTAAAAAGGCATCACTATAGCATGATTACATTTTCACTTTTTCACTTAGCTCCTTTGAGAAATTTATGCATTGTATTAACGCTGGGTTAACGTTCAACAACATTTTGATGATACTTGAAAGATGGCATCACGAATATTATAAAACGAAGCATTAATATGGTGTTTTAGAGGTACTTTGGAGTAGTATTAGCACTCTTAACACGAATTCTTGTAAGGTGTGGTATAATCGCCTCTATGAGAAATTCCCATTATGAACCCAGATTTAACAGTTTCGCTTCGCCACACATATCGCTAGATGAATCCCAACGAACCTTGTTCTCGTGACCACTAGAGTTGGCAGTTGGATGGGAAATGCTTTCCAAATTGAATTTTAGGTAGAGATACATCACTCTGATGCACTACCGATATGTAATTCGCGCCTATTTCTACTTCTTTATCTAGGTGACTAGATTATTTTCCAACTGCAAGGTTGGGTATTTGAGATCTATTGTTCATCATATCGCCAAGCTTCTGTCATTCTCCCGCCAAACCATCTTCGATAAATTAACTAAAATCTTTTTATTAAACAAAGGTCCAGTTAGCCACTTACAGGAGGCACAATGGAGAAACGGTCATTTTCGGTGATTTTGTACATGCCGTGTGAAATAATTTGTCGCGATCCTTTAACCCACGACATCCACGCCAATTCCTATTAAAATGAGAAAAAAGCTTCCATTAACCAAAATCCCATTCTCATTTCGATATTTCCCCTAAAATTCCACCTTATCGGAAGTTTTTTTGGATTTTGCAAATGAAATCATTTTCTCATTAAAATGCAGCTAATTCCAGTTTCAGCAATGTGAAAATGTGATATTTAGAGCACTACCTAGTCGTTTCACTTAAATTGATTCAAATTAATTTCGAAATTGCAAGTTAAATCTAGCCTAATAATACAAAAAATTATTGGAACAAAGCTTACTACAATTGGGACAAAGCAAGCTTTCAGAGAACAACACTCATAGGAATTTATAAATTCAATAATAATTATCGTTATACTCTGTTGTACTATTTGGTAAATTATCGACTGTTAACGCTGGTAATTAACCAGTCATAAATATTTTAAATTGATTCATGCCTTCTAGTCACCATATTGCGTATTTGATGGAGAGAAAAATCCGCTTTATCATTTGAAAGAAAATGTTTAAATTCATCATTAATTTATTTAGTTTTAGGATATTTTAAATTTATGCTTCTGTTTGATAATCGAAAGAATCATTAAGCAAATGATATCTTCTTTTATAAACGTTTCGTTTCTTCCTCAGTAGTCACTGCCGATCGACATAATTAGTTAAAATTTTCCGAGAAAAATAAGTTGCATTGGCGCTTTTGAAAGGCTAGATTTCAAGCAAACTGGTAGCCAGCCAAATCAAACGTTACCTAAATTGAAAGAAAGGGGAATTTTGGAATAATGAATAATTCAATGGACTGAAAGTCCATTGAGAGGTAATAACAAATGCTAACAGTGTCTAGAGGAACCAGTGTGCTCACGTATCGTTTGGAAATTTTTAATCATTTACAACACAAATCTGGGGGTGCACAATAGACTTACCTTCCCATGTGCACCCAGGGAAACGTATAGTCAAACTGCAAAAAGTCTATCAACCGGCAGTTGACTTCTGACTTTAAACCATCATGACCCCACTGTATGTCATATTTCACAACTTTCACAGTACTTACCTTTCCTTTTTCTCTACCTTTGTGTCTGTCTCTCTTACATCTGTGAATCATTCTTCTGTTCCCAATTTCGACTAATTGGGGCCTTGATGTTCCTCCCCTCTGTGAAGTCCGAAGTCAATTAAATGCCTAATGAAAGCTATCATAAAGCCTGCCCTTTGATATAAATAAACAAAGATAACCCATTTAAGAGAGAACTGTTTTCAAGGTCATCATAAGCGATAGCCAATTGAGATGCCAATTCTGTGCCTCAGTTGCTGAAAGTGAAT